GTGGGGAGGACGGGAGGCTCGCTCCTGTGGGGAGTGGGTGGGTCGGCGAAGTGGAGGGGGGGGCTCAATCCCACTGGCAGAAGGAACGGTGGGGGGGGGGGGTATTTGGGGAGATTGAGGGGTGGGTGTGAGGAGCCTTGTCCAGAGCAGAAACAATGGCACGGAGTAGAGGGCCCGAATGGACGTTGTAAAAACACTGCCACGTTCTGACCTGATCGCGACGTCGTACGGGCTGGTTTTCCACGATTGGCCCTCCACACTCTTCCCACCCGACAGCCTGACCTCAATCGGTCGGCTCTCTCGTAAAATCCTCTCCCTCAACATCTCTTCGTGATCGCTCTTCAGTTTCTCAAACTGTCGTAGGCGTTCCGCAACGTACCAGGGCCAGGACTTTCCCTGGACGAGTGAGAAAGAACAGAACTCCCTCAGCGAGCTCGAGAACAGACACAGTCCCACTCAAACCAGCAGACAAAAGGAACAGCTTGGCCAAAGAGCTAGCAGGCACACGGTGATGGGCTGAAGGGACTCATTTCAGGCTGCATCGTTTTACGAAAGAGGTGAGACTTCCCAGTCTTTCAACATCATTTATTTTGGAATCTGGATTCTCAACTAGTGGCATGTGTGCATTCGCCCTGTGTCCATGAACGATTCAGTTTTAAATACCCCTGTAGGCATAGTGATTTCTTTTCAATAAACAGGGAGAGAGCTCCTGCCACGCATGGAGTTCTGTTTTCGTTGGCGGACCTTTTCCAAGTGGGAAAAGCAGATAGCAGTGAGGCAAAAACACAAACCACTGGAGAAACTCTGCTTTCTCACTGCACAGGTGCTGCCAGACCAGCTGAGTTAATGTCCAGTAATCCTTCTTTGTTTTCATCAACATCGGATTTTTGGGTCAGATGGTTGGAGACTGATTTGCAGAAATGTTTTTTTTAAATTGAACCTATTTTTCAAATCAACCAGTTCAGAGATGTTATTACACACCTCTGGAGCCACTGGAGCAGGTGGGATTTGAACCTGGGCCTCCCAGTCCAGGGCCAGGGATACTACCACTGTGCCACAAGGGGACCCCTGTTAAAGGGTAAAGTTAAGCTGCTCCTAAAGAAGGGAGAGAGTTTTGAATGGTTAAGGAACAGATTTAAATTAAATTCCCTACACTGAAGTAAAGTTCCAGACCAGAAGTGATTGGTCAAAACCCTGAAGGGCTCATTTGAAGCTGAGAAAGTCTATACTCAGTTCTAGGAGAACTCCAGGAAGAGGCTAACAGATTCTTAAGATTGGGAATTGAAGCCATAGTTTAGCCCTATAGATATGATAGTGAAGTGAATTCTCACTGGTGTGAGTAAAGGTGGGCATCTGGCATTAAGAGGTTGTACGGAACTGGGCGTTTCAAAATCCTTAAACTCGTCTTATTTCCTTATTTTTTATTTTCATTTTGTACCTAAGATTTTGTCCCTAGGTACATTTGTACACCAGACAGCGCTGGGAAGGGCAACTCTGTACGCTTTTCGTTGTACTCCCCTGTACTTGAGTACATGTGACAATAAATTCCAAATCTTTATTTTATTCAACTTTATCTTTCATTTCTTTTGTGGAATGAATGCATGTCTTATTGTTAAGATGTTTGTATTTCAGTGGAAGACCACCTCATTAAAAACCAAAATTTGATCCATCAAGCCAGACATTTTGGTTCGGGATTGGACTTGTCCAGTCCGAACATCAGCTGGGATCAAGAGGGGAAAAAGAACAGCTCAAGTGTTATTTTCTATCATCCTAACACAGGCTCCCTTACCTGGGTGTCACTGCTATCCTCAGAGCATTTTCTCTCTCGTTTGCCCACATTCTTGTTTTCAGGTATAGCTTCTGTTGTGCGCTGCCAATGGAAACAAAAGGACATTGTTACATGCAATTTGAAATGAACTGCTTTAAAAAGGGATGGGACAGTGCCTGTGTTGAAAGAGGTGTACTTTTATATATATTTCGTTTGGTTTTTTTTAGAAAGAGTAGATTTTAAACTAGTGGCATATGGGTGTTAGATTTTCTTTTCATTCATTTGTGGGACATGGGTGTCACTGGTTGAGCCAATATTTAGTGTCCGTCCCTAGTTGCCGCTTGAGAAGGTGGTGGTGAGCTGCCTTCTTGAACCGCTGCTGTAGGTTGACCCACAATGCCTTTAGGGAGGGAATTCCAGGATTTTGACCCAGCGACATTGGAGGAATGACGATATATGTCCAAGTCAGGATGGGGAGCGGCTTGGAGGGGAACTTGAAGGTGGTAGTGAAGAGATTGACCATATTAATTAGGCCAGTATTTCCGAAACTATGATTTTAGGCCAGTGTATGTCAGAAAGCAGGTGTGCATGGCCTCCTGGAGTGTCAATGGACATTTGTTGATACTGTAGACATTTGCAACAGAAAACACTGAAAGATATTAGCTGGCATTGTTTAAAAAAAATGAGAATGTCCAAAATTGGTGGCATAGTAGAAAGTGAAGAAGGTTATCTAAGATTACAAAGAGATCTTGATCAGTTGGGTCAATGGACTGAGGAATGGCAGATGGAATTCAATCTGGTAAATGTGAGGTGTTGCATTTTGGTAAAACAGACAAGGGTAGGGCTTATACAGTTAATGGTCAGTCCCTGGGGAGTGTTGTAGAACAGAGACCCCTAGGGTTTGAGGTACATAATTCTTTGACATTTGCATCATACATAGACAGGGTGGATAAGGCAGTGTTTGGCATGCTTGCCTTCATTGTTCAGACCTTTGAGTACAGGAGTTGGGGACGTCATGTTGTGGTTGTACAGGACATTGGTGAGGCCTCTTCTGGAACACTGTGTCCAGTTCTGGTCGCCCAGTTATAGGAAGGATATTACTAAGCTTGAGATGGTTCAGAAGAGATTTACCAGGATGATGCCGGGTTTGGAAAGTGTGAGTTATAAAGAAAGGCTGGAACTTTTCTCACTGGACTGTTGGAGGTTGAGAGGTATATAAGTTTATAAATAATGTTTATAAGTTTATAAAAGAAGTTTATAAAATAATGAGGGGTATAGATAGAGTTAATGGTAGGTGTCTTTTCCCTCGGGTGGGGGATTTCAAGACTAGGGGGCACATTTTTAAGGTGAGAGGAGAAAGATTTAAAAAAGACATGGGGGCAATTTTTTTTTTTTTTTTTTTTACACAGAGGGTGGTTCGTGTGTGGAAAGAACTTCCTGAGGAAGTGGTGGATGTGGGTACAGTTACAATGTTTAAAAGGCATTTGGATAAGTACATGGATAGGAAAGGGTTGGAGGGATATAGGCCAGGAGCAGGCAGAGAAGTAGTTTAGTTTGGGATTAGGGTCAGCACGGACCATGGGGCCAAAGAGTCTGTTTGAGTAGATGGCATGTTGCTTGGTCTTGTTAGATAAACATCTGTTTTATTGTTAAAAGCAACGCTGCAGCCGAAACTTAAAATAAAGGATCTATCGAGCCTGATTTCATTCTGGGATCAGACGTGTATAATAACATCCATCATCACTGTGACACAGCAATGCTAACAGACTCAGCAACCCAGAGACCCAGATTACTCGTCTCGAGACATGGTTGAAACCCCAGGCAAGAGAATCGAGTTATAACTAAATTAAGAAATCTTGGAGGGTAGGTGCAGAATTGATGGGCTGAATGGCCTATAGCTGCACTGTATGGACTCTGTGAATTAGAGATTGGCGAGCAATCCTTACATTACAATATTGCGATTTACAAAGCACATTCAAACATAACTTACAAAAGGGAAAGGGAAAGGGAAAGAAAAGGGAGCAACAGGAATAAAGCCAAGGGTGAAAAGGTCATAGAGATGTACAGCACAGAAACAGACCCTTCGGTCCAACCCGTCCATGTGAACCAGATATCCTAAATTAATCTAGTCCCATCTGCCAGCATTTGGCCCATATCCCTCTATACCCTTCCTATTCATGTACCCATCCAGATGCCTTTTAAATGTTGTCATTGTACCAGCCTCCAGCACTTCCTCTGGCAGCTTATTCCATACACGCACCACCCTCTGCGTGAAAATGTTGCCCCTTAGGTCCCTTTAAAATCTTTCCCCTCTCACCTTAAACCTATGCCCCACTAGTTTTGGACTCCCCTACCCTGGGGAAAAGACCTTGGCTATTCACACTATCGTGAGCGAGAGAGAGTGCGCGTGAGAGGTAGAGCGCGTGAGCAAGAGGGAGTGTATGTGCACGTGTGAGTGTGTGAGAGAGAGAGAGACAGACAGACAGAGAGTGTGTATGCACGAGTGTGTAACAGAAAGGGAGAGACGAGGTGACAAGTTTCACCCTGCATCCTGTAAGCCCCCTGTCACGTCACTCCGTGTTACAGGCAGTGGAACCCAGACCCCTCCCGAAATACCCCCTTGATGCCTCCAAGGGAGCTGTCACAATCTTTTTTTTCCTGACACCATTAGTCCCATCGCTGGGGGCACCTTTTAAACAACTGACAGAACACTGGTTGCCAATTCTGGTGGGATATATTCCAGGAGATCTCACAGCATGTGATCTCTCACCTTCAGGTGCCCCTCCCTGGCCCAGATTCCTGCCATTGCACCCCCCCCCCCCCCCCGCCCCACCGCCAACCCCTGCCAAACCCTGGAAGGCTGAGGGCAGCAGTTATGTGGGAACACCACACCCCTGCCAGTTCCCTTCTGAGCCACTCACCATCCCTAGTTGGAAATATTTCGACTGTTCCTTCAGCGTCAAAGCCCTGGAATTCCCTCCCTAGGGGACATTGTGCGGGATGTCCCCACACCACATGGGGGAGATGCAGCAGCTCAGTCTGCTATGCCCACATCCCACGAACAAATGAAGAAATAACATTCCCAAAAGATTTTTCAGAGTGTACCATTTTTGACTTTTAGGAACTGCATTCCCCTCCGCAGCACTGTACACAACATTATCAGCAGTTACCACAGTAAAGAACATTTTGTAAAGATTGCAGGAGGTGGATGAGGGATTTAGATTGCTTGCAGCTTTCAGACGCAATACAGTATTTCCACTCAGAGAGTCACATTAACATTTACTTTGGAAAAGCAGATGAACAGACCTGATAGCTTTTCAGGCGAGGCTGGCAGGCAGCAGGGAAGTGATTCAGTACCAGGCACCGGGCAGACAGGCTCCTAGCAATCACAGACATCCTGCTCAGCTCTAGGTGCCCACTGTCCACCTGCTCGGGCACAGAGTGATCACTGCCCCTTCAGCTCAGGCCCAGAGTGATAACTACCTTCCTGCTCAGACCCACAGTGCCCACTGCACCAAGCACCACCCTGCCCCCGGGTCAGCCCCACGGTGCCCACTGTTCCCCCCCCCCCGCTCAGACCCACAGTGCCCACTAACCCCCCGCTCAGATCCACAGAGCCCACTGCTCCCCTGGCTCAGACCCACAGAGCCCACTGCTCCCCAGCACAGACCCACAGAGCCCACTGCTCCCCTGGCTCAGACCCACAGTGCCCACTACCCCACCCCCGCTCAGACCCACAGCGCCCACTGTTTTGCTGCTCAGTCCTGCCTCACATCACCTTCCTGGGCGCGGCCATGACAGACCCGCGGGACACACCCCCCAGCACTGATTGGCGCCGGTGATGTATCCAATGGGGCATCTCAGCCTCTGATTGGCCAGAGGTGTGCTCGCGTCAGTGCGGAGACAGCTTCCGGGTTTAAACCCGGAAGTGTGGCAGGAGATGGAGCAGAGGGCAATGCCCACTCCTCAGTGTGGGCACAGAGATACTACTTTCTGCACCCCCCTCCCCAGTGCCAAGGTAACAGGCAGTATTTCTGTCTCAGAATTATTCCTTCACTCTAATGCGGCCAAACAGAAATAAAACTGGGAATCTGAAATTAATCAGCACACATAACAGGAACTGCAGATGCTGGAGAATCTGAGATAACAAGGTGTAGAGCTGGATGAACACAACAGGCCAAGCAGC